GGTTCGAATCCCGTTGAAGCCCTGATTTTTTCAGGCTTCTTCTTTCCAATTGCTTAAATTGGAAAATTAACTGCGATGATCATTCTTCACTTTCAATTTTTTTCCTGTTAGGTTGACCTAGAAGTAAAAAAACAAAAACAAAAAAACGTTTTTGTACAGGCGTTCTCGGAGGGCCCTCTTCGCGATGGAAAATTGTTCCTTTGCATTTGAACTTGGTTTATTGTAACTCATAAAAGAGTAAAACTGCCCAAGTGCTGTTATGGAACTGGCGTGACGTGACAGCAGTTGAAACGCGAAGAATTTGTAGTAACTAGCAAAACGTGACTTCGGTTTTAAAACAGAGATAGGAAATGACGCGGGAGAAATGACTTCATAACGATAAAAAATAACTCGGTGACGTCTTCCTGTACTGGGGCTGTGAATCGTTTAAAATGTTCAAACTCCTTTTCAGGGTCAGACGGAGTGAGTATTTCTGAGATCAGCGTGATGCTCAAGTCAGTCCTGTCTGCCGCAGCAAGGTGAGACAGAAGTCAGATACATATTGTTATCTTTGATTACATAGCTTGTCCAAATGAAATTTGTTGATTCTACTACATGTAGCTGAATTCAATTTTATGAAAATCGTTGTGATCTTTTGTCTCTGTAGAATTATCCATGTCAGAGAGGCGGGCCATTCTCAAGGTCAGTAAATGTTTCAAAAAGCGCATTTAGCACTCTGTCTTCCCCGCAAATTGTTCTGTTAGAAAAATTCTGAGAATATATAGAGTATTTTCATCCAGAAAACTGATTGGAATCTACGAAGCGTCCCTACCACGAAATGGAATTGGAGTTGTTGAGAATATTTTCATTTGAGAATAGGTCTACATACGCGTTTTATAATATAATTAAATACGTGCGGATAGCTTCCGAGTTGCGTAATCCGAGTAATGAGCAATATGTCCGCTATATGTTAAACCATCGAATGACAGATTTGTTATTCCGCTAGTCATTTTCTTGTATTTTGGTTTCTAGTTTTTGGAGTATCGTACCGATGACATATGAGGCGTGTGTAAATGAGGAAAACAAAGTATATTTTACGCCTTCTTTACACATGGTAAAGGACATAATAGTGGAATAAATGTCAGTGATGATACTGCGTTGTATTTTGTTCGACACTAACACAGATGACGCCGGGTATCTGAAATTGTCAGAAGTGGACAGTGCTGTTGAGAACTTTGCCAGAGATGCGTCAAACCAGTGTGAAGATACCGCGGTGAGTATTTTCATCTACATCTACATTTATTGAGTCGGCAGAAACCGTATACAATATCTTCATGGGTGCGGTGGGACAGGTCAGATTTGTCCTGTCCTACACGGATTCCCATGAAAATCATGGGTCCTTTCCTCGTGCCTAAATCCATTTCACGGCATTGATCGATTACAGCAAAACGTAAACAAAGCAGTGAACCAACTCGATTTTGAGACAAAAGTACGTAGCGGGTGCTTTGACCGGAAAAACACGCGTATTGTACGAGTCACGATTGATTTTGTCACTTTTCATTGGTTGATAATACGCTTCTGTGATACAGATAGATTAGATCACAAGTCTCCGAGGATGTCATGCACTGAGCTCAGCAAACGCAGAATTGACACGCGCATTCTTCTGGACAATCAATCGAAACTGCTGTAAAACAAAAACTGATCGCATCGACGCCAATTTTTTCGCTCTTCGGAACCGACGATAAAATCTGAACTTGACGGTGGCAAGTGAACACAACTCGGGGAAAAATTGACCCTGAGAAACTTACTTGCATGGCTCGCTTCAGTGGCTTCCATCACTGATTTCTGGATAGATAACATCTGCGGCGACTGACATTTGGATAGACCAAGAACTTTCACACTGAACTTTACTTCAGCAATCCAACTGAAATGCCAATGTATATTTGAGAGTAGTTCGGGTTGCAATTACAGTGCCGTTCAGGCAAACGATTGTTTGATTACAGTATGACATCAACTAAACAAATATGAAAGTGACAATGCGCGAACGTCACCTGTTCCTTTATTCTTTCCAAGAACGTTCTAGAAGGTTCTAAAAAGTTCGGTGAAGAGACGTGAATTATGCTTCAGGCTCATCGATGCTAAAGCTAACTTAAGAGGTCATTTGTTGCCAGTAAGTTTACTGATATTACACCATCAGTGGCACTATTAATGGCTGACCCATAAAGGATATTACATGACCGCGCAGGGGATACGAATTTTATCATCGAGTGCTGATGGTATCTCTAACGAGAATGCACTGAATGAGTGAGAGATACCGGTAGCACTAGATAAAATTCGTATCCCCGCGCAGTCATGTAATGTTCTGTTTGATGAAACGTCCGAATGTAAGACATCTCAGAAAAATAGTGCCCACCTCTGCTGAGGTTGGGACTGTAATTTAAATGTGTAATTAACGCAAACTTATCTTCAAGTAATTCCGTCGTTGTAGGTCGTTATAAAAGTGTTTGTTGGTGTGGTAGATAGTCTCCATGCTATGTTTACACTTGATATTAAGGACACGATTTCTCTACTATTTGTAGTTCTAGCATCATTTGCATGTCGACATGTCTGTTTTGCCCCTTGTTAATTTATTCAATGCCTACTGGTACAGATGGCATTAAAGACCTTTATGATCTTGATCAAATATGAAGGAAAATTGAAACTAATCACATATAATTTGTCCAGAATGATCATAACATCTTGGTTGGAAAGTGGTTTTTCACATAAAGTCTGTCTAAAGTCTGTGTGTAGTGTAATTTTCTCTACCGGTTTAAAGCAGAAACAGTGAAAAATTGAAACAGAAATCTCTGTCAGCAGAACAATATGGTTAGGAGTTCTTTCGAATTGAAAACTGAATTAACTTGGCCAAGAATGAAGTCAGTGAAGTGTTTCCCTGGATGCAGAGTTTCATCGATAAACATTTTTTTGCTTTCTAAGTTCATACCACTACAAACGACTAAGCAATGCTAACATCATTTTTTTATGCCTTCTTGTATAAAAAATCCCTATATTATTTTTTTTCAAAAGACAAATAATCTGCCTCCCGCTATTATTCTCCCTTTTCACTGCGGCCAACTCTAGCGTGACTTGTCATGTGCCATGTTTACCTCTGTTTTTTTTTTTTTTTTTATTGTCATGTTTTTAATTTGAGTCCATTAAACAAAACAAAATGCGATCTTTTTCAAAGGCGCGAAAGGTCAACAAAAAATACTTTTGTTAGGCAACCTGTCGCATATTGCGTGTCTGATCCAAATGATAGGTTTTCGAATTATTAGAAATTCAAATGTTCAAGTCCGTCATTAGCATTTCAAGTGTAATTCAATTGTGGATATCTTAAAGATTTCTCTGTATGCTCCGTGGAAAGAACTTTGGCACTGTTTCTCTCGCTTTACAGTGAGGGAACAGAGAGGGGATCAAAAGAAGGAAATTGCGAAAAGAAATTTAGTAAGTTTTGATAGCGAAGATAAGATATCAAGGTCTTCTGTTGTCGTTATGTGGACATGATCATTTTATACGCTTGTTCATTTTGCTAGAGATTAATTCGCGATTATGTTTTACAGTGTAACTCTGGATAATAACGCAATATTATAGCCAAAAACGTGCCTGGCATCATCATATAACTTTGATTTCGTTCGTATATTTACGAGTTCTAATCATAGTTTAAACAGGAGGCTTTTATTTAATATTGCAGTTTTTCTGCATATAGTACTCGCGTCTTAATATTATATTTCTACTTCCACACGCTATGAGGCGTCCGCTTCGACATACTATTAGCAAAAGAATCAGATGTTTTCACGAACACATGAAGAGAAAAATAATGTCAACCGTTATGCAATTTTTTATGCAAACAATTCTTGTATTTTATTTTTCGATTACGAGCCTCATGCTTATATTGATTCAGTGGTGAAGTCTTAGGTTCAGGTAATATAAAACGTATAGCATAATTTATGGCGGTCGAGAGTTCCTAATGGCAACGTTCGTCTCCGTTTTCGTTCTTTTCATCCTACCGGACAGAAACGAACATACAATTCTCTCAATCCGCTTTAATGGCGTATGGTTTTCGTACTCTATAGAGCTTTAAGAAATTTCGTTCGTGTTTTTCTACAGTTACACCATTAGTTCGCAGGTTTTCTTCGGTTTTAAAGACCGGCGTTTCTTAAATTCGCCTCGACTTTTACGTAGTTATGAAGATGGTGGTTGTTAATTCGAGATACAACGATGGCAATGTGCGAAATTCGAGAGAAGTCAACGAGAAAAACGCAGCCGTCGATTTATTCTGAATGTAGATTATTTTAATAATCTATCCGTTAAAACGGATCCAAACAAAGCTGGTTTCTAAGCAGTTGAGAGCATTGTTAGAAGTTCCGAGGCCAACCGAGCAGGGCTTGAATTGTTTCACACTCCTTTTCCGGTTAAAAGTAATCATTTTCGGAGACAGTTTACATCGAAATGGTAATTTTTTCTATTATGTTTGATTTTATTTTTATGCGAACCATTGAGCTCGAGTTCACAACAGGAAGCGATAAGTACGGATAATTATCAAGTACCAGAAACACCGCCTTTACTTCGTGTTGTTTCATTTCCAGTGCGACATTGACTCGATTCGGGCCACGTAGAAGAAAACTAACCATCAAAACGCAAACTCAGTGGCAAGAATGGACTGGTAGCTTCTCGTGACGGCAATTAACGGTCTGTTTGACGTGAAAACACTATCGACTCCTCCGCGTTATATACACTCTTAAGGGCTGGCTAAACTAGGAAACATTGTTGCGGAGGCAAATGTTTCCCAGTTTAGCCAGGCCTTTATTCAATCCCTGACGACGAATTATCATAATTATAAATCTCGCTCGAAAAATTTCGCTTGAAAACTCTATTTGCGACAACTAAACCGAAACCGTTGAAAAGCGTACAAAATTCAAATAACCAATCAACAAATGGCAAAGTTTCCTGAGAGGTACTTTGTAGGGTTTTCCATTTTGTTAAAATCTATTGTTATTATTCTTTAATGTTATTAGTTTATGTGAGAAAAAGATCGCTATCCTTTGTTCGAGTATTCACACTGTAATTTATTTGGATTCTCGCCCAGATAGATCACACCAACAAGTTAAACAGGTTTAAAAGTGGTTTAACTAAACAGGGTTGAAAATTAGTGGCTCATACTGCGTGTGCACCCCACAGTTAAACAAGGTAAAAACTTGTTTGATGAACAGACCTTAGCAAGGTGGATTGATATTTGTCTTCCTAAGATTACTTGAAAGCGTAATTGACAAATTGGAACAACTTAAACCTGATTTAGTTTAACTGGTTTAGCTGGTGTGAATGGGGCATTAGACTCCCCCAGTCCTGAACATCTTGTTCCTCTCTGGTTCACTCTGCGTTTTAGCTGCATGTCTGCTATACCGTTATTATTTTTGTAATTATTTAGTTATTATGTTTTTTTTCATCTTCGATTCCTTTGGTTCCTGCGTCGTTCAAGTTGAATGCAGTTTTTGAATGCCGCGAGCAGTGCTCGCTACAAAAGGCGCATTCATCTGAGTTGTACCGTTTTAATCATCTATTACTGACTGCCTGACTGACTGTCCGTCTGCCTGCCTTTCTGACTGACTGTCTGTCTGACTGTCTATCTGACTGACTGTCTGTCTGTCCATAGAATGGAAAACTGACCAAAGCAGAGTTTGTAAGCTGGATGAGAAGACACCCTCTCATTGTGGACTCGGTATTCCAGCATTCCAGTATTAGAGACAAACAGTTTAACACAGGATTGCAGGTAAGGATATATCCGTTTTCTCTTGTGTTGCATAGCATTCAGTACTATCCAAAAACTGACGTTTCAGTAGGTTGTCAGAGAAACATTCTTTTGATAGTCAGCGGCGATGGCAGAGAAGAATGAACGTAAGGAAGGGGGAGAGGGAGACCAAGAAGATAACAAGGAGACACGAAAACCAGCGGGTGTAACAAGTCTCAATGTTGTCATAAAGAAATAATGGGCCTGTTTCGACACAAAAAACGGCAACTTGACCTATTTTGGACACTTTTTCCTTGTATCTCTCACAGAATGGTCGTGTCCAAGAGAGTCACAGGTCACCTGGGTTTGTAACAAGTACAGAACAAGGAGCACGGTACAATATAGCCGTCATTCGTAACTAATTGAAAGACATTGGCTTGAACGCTTACCTTACAATCTAAGGACGTTTGCAAACGTTTACGAATTTTCCAACATGGAGAATTTTGTCAAAACTCCATCGTGGTTAGATAATGAGTTATTTGTGTCAGAAATGTGAGACAAAATGGGGGTCACCGACTTCGTTTCTAAGATAAAGAGTGGGGAGGAAAAAAAATGTTTTCGAAAACTTGGTGCACGAAACTGTAAAGATGCGCAGATACAATTACCGCAAACGTTCTTAATTGTATAAGTATTCATTCTATGACACCTAATAGGACGTATTCATATTAAGTACCTTCCCTTGCCTGGATTCAGACAAAGTTATGTGTGTTGTGTGATGTGTTTCTGCAGACGTACAGAGCTGCTAAGCCAAACGTGGGTTGATGGCTTACAACAGGGTGCAGAAGAGGAACAGGCTGCTAATGGTGGGTGTGGAACTCATGTGGTTTACAGTTTTAGTTCGTAAACTAAAAGTGCGATTTGCGTTTCTTTTGAAAGGCACTCATGGTCCCCTTTGTTTTATCCTTACTGATTCTTAGTAACAATAACAAGCCGGATTTGGCGCGCTCCTTTTATTAATCAATTTAATGCCGCCATTTGTATGCGTTTGTTTTTGCAATAGAAGCCCTTATTCAAATATAATACGCCCTCATGCACAATGCGCCATCTGCAAGATGCGCCCACGTTAATTTACCTGGCAGCTGAAAACGATCCATTTTCAAAAGTTGAGTTTTACCAATCCAAGAAGATGGAAACCTAATTACGGTTTCTTGTTTAGGCAAGTACAGAATTATCGGGGAAAACAGGAAGGACACGTTAGCCCCCAAGGCCCTGCCTGGCACCCTCGGCTGGCCCTAACTAGAATCATTACAACGTGCTAACGTATTTTTCGGGAAACTACTAATTCAGTTAAGTTAGCTACTATGATAGCACCAAACTAACTTCCAAATGAACTCCTTTCCAATCCCTTCTCATATTCTTCAGAGCCCGTGTTCAGCGGTAGTTATGCAGACGCGGATTACTTGTGGAGTCCGGTGTTCCCGGCCAGCCTAAGCATGCCTTGCGCGCGTAACAGGCACTCGGTGTGTGTTTGGGGTGGAGGTGTGTTTGTGTATGGAGGCCGAGGAACTAGAGGAACACTCAAAGACTTCTGGAGATACGATATAGGTAGGTCTGATGCCTGTTTGGTGTTATATGACGTGAAAACTACTTGCAACGATGGCGGTATGCTTTCTATTAACTGAGTTTTACTACTCTTATCTCACAGCCTCCAACACGTGGAGTAACGTGCCTGTTGAAGGCGAGCTCAGACCACCGTCCCTACAAGAACATACTGCATTAACGTACAAGGTAAGACTTGCATCACCCACGGCCTTACAAATTTCAACATCTTTCTCACGCCGAAGTCCTAACCCTAAATCAAAAGTGATCACAGTGCCCTTGTCTCGGGCTTCATTGTGGAAAACATGTAACCAATAGCTTGCGCGGTAAAACTTTTAACTGGTTGCAAGTGTGTGAAAACATATCAGTGGTGGCAAGCGCGGGAAATAGGATGTAAACCAAATTTTGATTGGCTCTAGTATATTTTTTATGTGATTAGCTAGGATAGCTTTGGTCCGATTGGTACGAGCAAGTGTGATCTATGGCCTCGACTTACAATGGATTCTATTAGCCACAGCACATCGATTTAAACCAAACGTTTGACATGTTAGGCGCGTTTTGCAAACAATTTACAGCTTCGATAGACAATTGAACAAATTCATTTACACCTAGGTAACATGTTCCACTCAGTTCCTCTTTATCTATGACCAATTCTTGTTTTCTCTATTCTAGGGTAATATGTACGTATTCGGAGGTGAATTCACCGCGACGAACGAGACGCCATTATGGACGTTCAATTTTCGTAAGTGATAGCTAGTATGCTTGTTGCGTGAGATTTTGTTTCATGTGATCTGACACATCCCCACCCTACCCCTACAGGTGAGCGTGCGTGGAGAAAGCAAGCGGCAAAGTCATGGGTAAGCTTCTGTAACCACAGTGAATGAATTCTTCTTTTGCGTTCTTGAATCAGCTTTTAATTAGTTTCTGGTTGTGAGTCATCAGTTTGACGTGATATATCAAACACGAAAGACCGTGTTTAACCACATTTCCAAACACTGAGAAGAGAGTTGAAAATACGGCGCGTAGCGGAGTATTTTTGAACTTCGAGGTGTTTGGAAATGTGTTGAAACACTGTCTTGAGTGTTTGATATTTATCCTTAATCGAAAGTAAAACTATGGAGAAAACGGAGAAATAAAATCCTTTAAAAATCTTTGCTAGTTAACATCAGATATCCAAACACTGCCACGGTCACGATTTCCTTTCTTTAAACTTGATGAATTATTAATGAGTTTGGGAAAATAAAGTCAATACTGACTAAATTATGAAGGGAATTTCGGCTAACATTTCTGTGGAAACTCTCTCTCTCTCTTTCTAGGGTCCACGCACTCGGCGGTCACATACAGCCGTGATCCACGAGACTTCGATGTTCGTATTTGGCGGGTATATCGACATGAGAGGTGCGAGCGACGAGCTTTGGCAATACGAGCTTGGTGAGTGTCTATATGTCAGTCCTCTGTCGACACCATAGCAAAAATGCTACTAAGCTCTTTTGCCCGTGATAATTCAACGATATTCGCGTATCTCCTTCAAGAGATACGGCTAGTTCCTAGTGCTCACGCGCGGTTATTTAGCGTTTAAAATCTTCACTCCTGGGGACTGTTTAGCAAGCTCTTTCTTTCACACGGTCTTGCCTCGTAAACGAGACAACCTCATTCCCAGGGTCTCTCTCTCCCTCCCCGCCTCCTCTTGCTCTTGAGGCACAAGGTTGTACACGAGGTGGAACACTTTGTAGTTTGCATTGATTTAATACTGCCATAAACTGGTTATGTTCGATTGTTAACAAGAATAACTTGTATCTTTGGTCTTGCAGACACTTTAAAGTGGATCAGGATTAAGTGGAAAGGAGACGGACCGAGTCCACGTTACCATCACTCAGCGGCCGTTGGAGCAGCTGGTATGTGGGTGTATGGGGGCTTGGAAGGTCTACAAGCCAGGAACGATCTCTGGAGATGGAGCTTTGGTATGTCATGTTTGGTCGTCGTCTTTCGCTTTAGCTCTATTTCAATGCTTTTCACTACAGATTTCGCTTCTTTAAAAAGTGTCGGGGTTAACTAACGTTATTTTTCTTCTATTTCAAGTGAGTCACTCGTGGTCAAGGATAAAGAGTCGAGGTGGTCCCCCGGCCTTGTTTGGCCATTCTGCGATGAAGGTAAAGCTCGCGCGCATATGCGGATTATTGTGGTTTTTCATACCTCTTAGTTACAAGAAAAAAAAAAAAAAAAGAAAAAAAAAAAAAAAAAGAGAACGTGATTTTTACCGTCACATCAGTCTCGATAGGTTTTGCCTGCGTCAAAAATATTATGACTGAGGCTATTAGTTTTATTTCTTTTTAACCGGCGAAGTTAGGGATATCATCCAGGGATCTCTCTTTCTCCTCGCTAGCCACCTCCCCTCATTCAGGTCACGAGGAAGTGAACCCCCATTTGAGAGTTATCGTAATGTTCAGACCGTCAAATTCTCCCAACTCGAACTCTGAATAATAAATGGATACCAATGAGGAGAATTTGTTTGTTGATCTTTTCGTATGTGTGACACTAGGTTGGAGATGGCATGTTGATATTTGGAGGTGAAACAACAGATGGCGCTCTACAGAATACGATGTGGCGGTTTGATTTAGGTAAGGAATTGATACAATATCGGATGATGACCGCTTTTCTTACCTCATTTTGTATTTGGACTGAATTCTATTCGATTTTGTGATAAAAGTCTCTAACATCAAGTCAGCAAATAAGTAGCCTGCTAGCACGCTTTCATGCGTTCTGGCACGAGCAAAGAGAAAGCCGCGAGGCCAATCGGCGAGGGACCTGGCACGAGAAATGACGCTTTGCTCGCCACTAGTCTCTCGCGGCTTCGCCTTTAATCGTGACAGCGTAGGAGAACCTGCTCGCATACTAGCAAATCAGTGGTCTGGTCCCTACATTTCTTTGCTTTAGTATTTTCCTTGTTGAGTACACTTAAAAAAAAATTGGATGCTGATTGGTTGAGAGCAATTACTGACTGACTGGCCGACCGACCGACGGTCCGATTGGCGGAGTGGATATGGATATGTTGTTGGATATTGACTGGGCATGTCAAACAAAACTCTTCAAAAAGTGTATCTAAAGAAAGATGTGAAATTAGTCTCGAATTAATAGAAAACGTTGTCGAGTGTAACATAACTGTAACTCATGTTGCCCTTTCAAGTATTTCATTGCAAAAAATGCAGTGATGTTCGTTTTACACAACTGTTTTTCAGATAACCGCACTTGGAGCACTGTTCACCCGCGTGGTGGGATATCCCCGCCCGTCCGCAGCTGCTTCTCCTTGGGAGTGGTTCCTTCATCCGCTTTCCTTTCCACCATTCGACCGTCTACATCTCATTCGGCCCCGCCCTGCACCCCCATGCCGTCGGACATCTTGAGAGAAGAGAGTCTGGAAAGCAGACCGACTACCAGAGGGGCATCCTGGTGTGAACCTTTCACCGGATGGGAGAGATCCGCGGCGTCACTGGGTTCCCTTGATTCCGCGGCTCCGTTACCTAGTGCAGTGGTAACATTAAATGGCGATAAACGCCGTCAAAATCATCCGGTGTCTCACTTTAGCTCCGAGGTGTACGAGAATTCAAAAGGCATGACTCTATCGGACGATTCTTTACACACAAAGCAGCAACACAGTACCACGGGACCTGAGCCTCGTCATCAGTTGAAGGCGAAGACTCTTCCCGCCCCAAGTCTCTCCTGGGACAGAAAAGGTCGAGTGCACAGCCAAGAACTGTTTAATGTCAATTCTTCTGTTAGTACGGATTTGAGGAAGAGCTTGACTCGTCCTGTTGCCTGTCTTTTGGTTCTTGGCGGAAAGACGCGTACCCAGGCAGATATGGGAAGAAGCCTTGACATATGGCGATGTGATATTGATCCAGGTATGGTGCTGTTATGATAAGTGAAAGTTTGCTCTCGTGCGCATCAAGGGCGCGCTCGGGTGTGCTATTTTTCCTAGTTGCTCATATCACCAGTCACTAAATACTATCTATGGGGTTCTGTGGGTCTTTATTGCCAAGACCACCACGATTTAGCCCTGGAAGTCAATTCTTTCCAACTGAACCACAGGTAGCGCAAGCTCACGTTCCAATAACACAGTTGCCAACCTTTGCCTGAGAGCGACATTGCGTTACGAGGGTTCTATTTAGTAAGGTCAGTATGGAAACGAACCGGTTCATTTTTAACAGTATAAATTTAAATATTTTGAGTAAAATTGACTTGCCTATACTAGTCTTGAGAACACCAACTCTTGTAACGCAATGCCACTCATGGGCAGAAGTTTACCATCATGTTTTTATCAGAACATGAGCTTGGGTCGCTTGTGACCGAACACGAACTCGTTGCTCTATAAATTTCCCCTTATGCATGTCAACAACCGTCCATTGTGAACTGATGACGATAGTTTCTTTCTTTTCAGTCAAGAAAAACCAAACAGAGCGAGTGGAAAAGATCACCGTCTCAGACAATCGTGCGACCATTCCTTCAGTTCCTTATAGTCATTTAGAGCCTGCGCCTTCTGAGAGCACCGCTGACGCTGACGACGACACGGACTCAATAGGCAGCGACTTGGTCTTGGCGGACATGTCTGATAGTGACACGCGCAGTGTGGATTTCTTATTGGACGATTATGGCGAAGTCACGAGTACGTCACGCGGCTTTCCTAAAGTGTCCGTGTGACTCGGTGACGTCATAGACAAAGCGTGTGTGGTAGATAATAATTCTATCTAGGGCACAAAATCATAATCGCCAGTTGTGATTAATTACTGACTTCTTCTAACCTATTTATAACAACTTCAAGTGAGCAAGTTATGAGAATTAAGGATTTGGTCACCCCTAGAAAAAATATTGATTCAGTCATACATAATGTGTGAAACATAAGGAGAATTTTCATATTTGTCTTGTTACAACCAGAATATTTTTCACTCTTAATAGGCTCGTTTCATATTAGTCTCTTATTTGACAAGGACAAAAGAAAAAAAAAACCTTTCATTTGTTTGTTTTTACTTATCTGTTAAGCTCATCCCTGTACTGAGAGCACTGTTTTTCTATTCAGTCCCGATGCGTTTTTGTTTCTAAACGAGCCTGTTGTCGATTGTTTTGTATCGTAATTGGTCGGCTGGTTTCCGCTTATATTTGTCAGTGTCCGTATATCTTCGGCTTGCAGTCGGCTTACCTTCCTTGAATTGCAAATAAATTGGAAAATAAGTCACGAGTTGCAAGCCTATTTATCAGTAAAACATATTTATAAATAAAAGTTGTATAATTTATACTGAAAGGACAAGTTTCTACCAATGACAAAAATGTTGTATAAATAGTAATTTCGACATATTTAACAAATAATTTCATATTTTACGGCGTTTGATATTGTGTTAATATTGATGTTATTTTTTCAGTCACTGGTGATTGGAAGTCGCATCAAAGGCTTGTGTAACAGGTTGTAAATGATATAAAAGTTTATATAACAGGCTCGAAATTGTGTAAGTATTAAATCCCTCTAATATGTTGCTAAGCTCTCCGATGAAAGAGACAAAACACAGTGCAAATATTTTGAAAGTAAGACAGTCCATGAATAAGTAAATAAAACAGAAAAATAAAACTGTAGTTTGCATAAGAAGGCTTCTTTCGATATTGCAAAAACCCCGTACAATTCAGCTTGCAGAAAGGTCATTTCCCATGTGTTCCCTAGCTTCCACTGCAAAGCTGATCATGGAAGTAAAGCCAATTGGTAACGTTTACCCAGAGTTGTCGTGACTGGTTCGAACAACAATGTGATTGGTTCAGGTTGTTATTGTCATTTTCACATGAGCACCCAAGGTACCCTGGTCTTGATCTTTGGTATTTGCGAAGTTATATATCAATCACCAAAGACCGTGTTTGACCACATTTCAGACACCGAGAAGAGAATTGAAAATACGACGCCTGGCGGAGTATTTCTGACGAACTTCGAGGTGTTTGGAAATGTGGTCAAACACTGTCTGGAGTGTTTGATATATCTTGTTAATCGAAACCAAAACTAAGGAGAGAACAGAGAAATAAAATCGTAAAAATCTATCCTAATTAAGGTCAGATATCCAAACACCGTCACGGTCATGAGTACCTTTGTCTAAACCAGAAGCATATCACCTATTCTACGTGATATGCTTCTGTCTAAACTTGATGAATTATTAATGAGTTTGAGAATTCTACTACCATTTTAATGACGTCATGGTAAAATTGTTATTCGGTACCACTCTCCCCGCTCCGGGAAAATGAAGAGGAAGAGACTTAATCTGGGAACAAGGGGTTTCCGACACTTCACAAGATCATAGTTCAGTAAGTGAGAAAGCTAGGAAGCAGAAATGACGTACATCGTTTTATTTAGACGCGTGGAAGAATGTTACGTTCCCCTCTTTTCCCGTTCATGTTGTATTTTGCCCACTCATTGTACGGCGCAAAACGAGTGTTCGACATATGGTTTAAAATCAGCTCTCCCTCCCCAGCCATAACTATCCGATCGAACTAAATCACAGCAACTTGAAATTAGATGAAATATTCACGAGGCTTCCTTTCCAATTAAAATCTTATCCCTTTACAACTGAGATTATTAGGGTATTGGGGGCAGCACAAAAGAGATTCTTTTCGCTGCTGTACTCATTTTTTGTGATCCGATATTTGTCCCTCTACGTAAGAACAGTGTTTCTGATTCAGCCAGAGTTCACACGAACTTGTACGCACTCCACGTTCCAAGACCGAGGGGACAGTTGATCCAGTAAGGAGTTCTGTGAAAGAAAAACAGTCCACCTGTTACCAAGACGAGACTAGTCACTAGACTTAAGAGACAAAAACATGCCTTTTTTTAAGAAAACTTGTACGCAATGTCTTTGCAATCGAATAAGTTCCCCCAAATTATGGTTGTAAAAAATACACCAACTAATAAAACAAGACAAAACTGGAGGAAGAAACGCGATTTATCCTTGCAGTTTCCAAACACCAACATCAGTAGAGAGCGAAGAATGGGGGTGGACTGGCATCTCCAGAGAATATAATCAACTCTTCCAGTATGGAGGAGAGGGGAAGGGAAGGTATTGTTGAGTAATCAAGCCTCTCTCCCATCCCCAAGGAAAAAGACGACTGAGAAGCTATCCCAAAATGAATTCCTATCCTCATAACACTTTTACCAGGGTTGCCACACGTCAGGAAATGGTCAGGGGGAAAAACTCACGAATAGGGAAAAGCCAGGGAGTTTAAATCTTGAGTCAGGGAAAATTTACATTTTGAAGAAAAGACAGGAAAAACTGAAATTATATCATCGCTGATTTAACTTTTGAAGGCTGGAAGAAGTATTTCAGGCCACTGTGATCACATGATCTCAGCGATGTTTTCCCTCGACAAAGAAGGCAAATATGTTGAGAAATCATCAGTCCTAAATAAATGGATAGATAGGATGGCTGTAAGGGGAGGCTGGAGGACGAGTATTGTGACATTTTATAATTGTTTGGTCAGGGAAATAGTATTTTTGTTAGGGTTTAGATTACTTACGCTGTCCCTTGGACAGATTTGTGTGGCGAACCACTCCTGACTGTACAGACACATCAGAAGTCCATTGCCTACGATGAGCGTGATCCACATGAACACGTTCCACACCTGTGACACATTCCCGTGTTTCTTTGGTTTCAAAAACACAAACGACACTGAAACAGCAAGAGTCAAAAACTCACATAAATGACGTGTTATAGTCACTAAGTACGTCGCAATAATTGTCACGCAACGGTTTGAAAGAGCCTTGCGTGAGGACTCAAATAACGCAAACAAAGGATGTATTAAGACTGGGATCAGATGCAAAAAACTGCCTGAAAGCCTGCTCGCATGCTTACCAACCTGCCTGCCAGCCGGATTAACGGCCGGCCTGACGGACTATCCAACCGACCGAGCGAGTGATTTTTCTCCCCCAAACTAACTGCTATAACTAGGGCGTCAGACTACTTACAACCAAAAACACCAAACAGGAAGAGCAGCATTGGGTAGAAGAAGCGAAAGGCGAACATCAGAACATATTCATGAACAATGGCGGACAAGCAAAACACGGACACAGTCGCAACTTGACGGTTCTTGATAATCTGGAGATAAACAAAGAAGTAAGCTTTGTGATTGGACTCTGTTTCTGCTGATTGCCAGCATAAATCAATAAAAAGCCAAGCAGACAGGTTTTGAGATTAAAGATGTTCATCAATGAAGGATTCATTCATCTTGGTGTATCAACAAATACTCAGAGCTAACACAGTGAAATCTAGTTCGTATAGTGTGATCGTCCGGGTGAGTGTAGTTCTGAAAAGAACTGTTGTNAACACAATGCCAGGATCATCTGAGGGTGTGTCACTCGGTTACTCCATTAAGGGTCAAAATAAAGATCGTACCCACGTCATGTTGCAGCTGAGATGGCCTAAAGAAAAGTTGAACCATAGGTGAGGCTCTAACAGCCATTCGGAGGGAGCGAATTAACATGTGGCCTGCAAAGCTAGGGTTCTCCCATTTTGTTCAAAGGAAAAACATTTTGGAGGGGGATGAGGTCTTGCCCTCGCGCCAATTTTCGCGCGGCCAAGGTTTCATTCTTATGGCAACACTTCCTACGTAAGCTAAATAATGTGCAACAAATCTTAAGTAAAATATGATAACTTTTACAATCTCAGTAAGCTATTTTATACAATATCTACACCTTAACCATGTCCTTGTATATGTACGCATACAGCCAGTCATGTACCACAACGTTCCAAGAGCGATAATAATCTGCATATGAATTAGAATTCCACCAGTCCTGTCAAAACCAAATCAAAAATATGTTCATTTTGGGGCACTAAGAATGTTTTTGATCAATTCTCCATAAATAGCCACCGAACAGTTTCTGGACAAGATTTGGAAATTCAAGATTTGGAAATTCAAGATTTGCCTGCCAAATGTTTAAAAATTCAAGACTTGGAAACTCAAGATTTGGCCTGCCAAATACTGAAAATTTAAGATTTGGAAATTCAAGATTTGGGTTGCCAAATATTGAAAATTCAAGAGTTGGTCTGCCAAATAGTGAAAATTTCAGATTTGGAAATTCAAGATTTGGCTTGAAAATAAATTATTTAACATTCAAGAGTTGGAGATTCAAGAGTTGGAGATTCAAGATTTCGCTTAAAATATTTAAATTCAAAGACTTGGAAATTCAAGATTTGGTCTGCCAAATTTTCCAATTTTAAGACTTGGACATTCAAGATTTGGCTTGCCAAATATCAAAAATTCAAGATTCGGCACTTCAAGATTTGGTAGGCCAAATATTGACAATTGAAGACTTGGAAATTCAAGATCTGGCCCGCCAAATATCTAAACTTTAAGACTTCAAAATTCAAGATTTGGCTTGCCAAATATAGAAAATTCAACATTTACAACTTCAAGATTTGGCCTGCCAAATATCGAAAATTTAAGATTTGGAAATTCAAGATTTGGCCTACCAAATATTGACGATTACGGATTTAGAAATTCAAGATTTGGCTTAAAACTATTTCAAAATATTGTATGCCAAATAATGACAACTGAGGGTTTGAAAACATTCAAGATTACAAATATCGAAAATTCAAAATTAGGAAATTCAAGATTTGGCCTGCTAAATATTGAAAATTCAAGATTTAGCCTTCCAAATATTGAAACTTCAGGACTTGGAAATTAGATTTAGCCTGTCAAATATCGAAAATTCAAGATTAGAATATTCAAGATTTGGCCTGCTAAATATTGAAAATTCAAGATTTGGCCTTCAAAATATTGAAAATTCAGGACTTGGAAATTCAAGATTTGGCCTGTCAAATATAGAAAATTCAAGATTTAACCTACCAAATATTGAAAATTCAAGATTCTGCCTTCCAAATATTGAAAATTAACAATTTTGAAATTCAAGATTTTTGGCCTGCCAAACATTGAAAATTCAGGATTTGGAAATTCAAGATTTGGCTTGAAATGATTTAAAATTAAAGAATTGAAAATTCAAGATTTGGAAATTCAAGATTTAGCTCGCCAAATATTGATAAGTTAGGATTTGGAAATTCAACATTTGGCCTTCCAAATATTGAAATTCACGATTTGGAAATTCAAGATTTAGCCTGCCAAATATTGAAAATTTAAGATTTGGAAATTCAAGATTTGGCCTGCCAAATATTGAAAATTCACGATTTGGAAATTCCAAAAAAATATTGAAAATTCAAGAATTGGAGATTCAAAATTTTGCGTGCTAAATATTGAAAATTCGAGATTTAAGAGTGCCAAATGACCAGTAAATGCAAGGCTTTGTAAGAGGCGAGACTAGCATTTTCCCTTTCACGTTTGAGACATTTTTGACTTTTTAATTGCAAGATTTAGAGTTCAATGAAGTGTTTAAAAAAACAAGAATGTGACAATGTAAAGACAAAAGGTTTTTAAAGGACAGAAAATCACAAGCTAGGAAAATAGTCATCAACAAACCTTGTAGAACATCCTGTCCGCAAATCTGGTCATTTCTGCAAAGGCATTCAACCAGGAATGAAGGATGGCGAAGAAACCAAGGACAAGGACCATTGTGCCTGGCAGCATGCAACTGAAGACTGAAAGGGTGAAATGCCTGCAAAAATAATGATTGAGCAATCTTAGCTTGGGCGAGCCACTCTATGGGCAAAAGTTTCAGACCATCTAAGCCAAAAAAAATATTGATTACTGAATAATTCCTGTCCTGAATATGCCCTGAATATTCCCTATGCCAAAACTGGGCTGAGTGATATTTTTTCAAAGAATATTTGAAGAATAATCAACACAGTAGCCTCCATTTGACTTTATATCAAGGATATTTTTTGTTGGACGTTACCTGTTCCTTGAAGTTTACAGTTTTCTTCGAGCTTCGCTCTTAGAAAACCGTTTGATTCTCACAACAGATTACGCTGGTGGACAAAAGTCCATGCACATTTTTCCGACAGATTACCTACAGCTCAGGGAATAGAGATTGAGATGCTGGTATGTACAATACCTAGGTCCACCATGCATGCAGAGAAGTGAACTCACAACACTGTGAATATAACACAAACTTACAGAAGTGTAGCAGCTCTTGTAAGCTTGTAATTCTATTCATTGTTAGCAGCTGTTATTGTTTTAGGGCTAGGGGCATTGTTTCTGTTGTTTGTTCTATTGTTCTCTCAAAGGGTAGCGAGCCATTCATGTGAGACCTTACGACAGCTGCTACATCACCCCAAACTTACTTGAAACTCCATTGTCCCTTTCCAATACTTCTAAACACAGGTACACAGAAGCGAGCAAACACATAGTAAGTGTAGAAGATGCAGGCCAAGGTCTGGAGGGAATTGGATACCACATAATTCCATCTGATATAAGGAGTCCTGAAAAATTATTAACATAACCATGAACGAGTTGACTATTATGAAACAGAGAGTAGAAATGACTGTGAAAGAAGCAGAAAGGCTGAATGAAACTGTACATGATCAATCCCATGTGAACTAACTTCAAACTCTGGGAAAGTTTAAACCCACTGAGCACCCCCAAGGAGCTCTGTCATAATGTGATTAAGTTCAAATTATTTTCTGTGCTGTACAGTAATGTTGCAGAGGAAATAAATTTCTAAAAAATAATTACCTAAGGTAGTTCTAAAATGTCTGAGAGAAACATCCTGGACATTAAACCAAGGCAAGCCTGATAGAAGACAAAACTTTCAACACTTTATGCCACATTTGTCATGACACCATCTCTTACATAGCAGCTCTAAGATGTATTAAAGGGTACAGAGAGTAAATATTTAATTATTTGGCGAGTTGGTTTATCATTGTTTCTTTTACAACAGCAACATTCAATTTGTGTGCTTTGAAAGTATTACAACACAAATTTGAGTTCGCTGTTTTTAATAATGTTTTTTTTTCTTTTCTTTTTACATTTGAGCTTGCACACTGGGGGTGTGGTTAATCAACAAGTGAAGCTTATAACAAGAAATGATATTATTTTTAAATGCTTACATTGGGTACTGGTCTCTGTAGATAAGAGTAGGGCAGAAAAGAAAGTACAAGTATTGTCCAAACTCTGGCAAAGGTTGATTCTCTTTCACTGTTTTGTCTCGGTTTGTAGCATTGTCTCTGCCCTCATCAGCTTGATCTGCTTCTGCTGGCGGATCTGAGTCGTCTTTTAGCCATCAGAAGAAAAAGAAATAAATGACAATCCATGAAGAGCAATTCAAGACTCAAGCCAGAAACTGTAAGGGTTGCTATTTAATAGAAACTTGTTTACCTTGTGTTCTTTCATATGAAAGGACCTTGGGTGCACTTTCTCTTACAAATGCATGAACTTTGAGCATAAAGCGAATCTAGTCATTAACAGCAAAAGAACAGAAACTATCAGCATCAAATAAGCTTTAAATTAAGTCAGTAGTTAATTTGTAAATCATGTCAAACTATGAAAATTTACTTTCTGTCGCTAGTTCTAAAGAAAAGGTAAATGCACTTAAATGCAATTTAACTATTAAGTTACAACAAAGACCTGGCATTCATCAGGCGGACAGCGCTTCTTGGATGTTAGCGCAGGTACTGTGCCCCATCAAAGTAGAATGTTCAAGTGCTGCATAGTTTGAGCAGTTTTTCAGTAAGCTCCAAGTTATTTTACCTCTTCTTTTTCTGCACCTCCCTCCCAATTCCTTTTTTCTGTTGTTTATTTAGTGTGCAGTGGCTGGAGGTTGTCTGTAAAATAGCGCCCTTTTCTCGTTTTTACAAAGTTATGGAAGAACATTTAGATATAAATGGACTATAAAATTCTTGAGAAGACTTAAAGTAGGATATTCACGGTTTTGCGACTGTAAAACAACAACAACAACAACAACAACAAAAAACAGAAAATGTTGAAAAAACTGACGAGTGCATGCACACAACAAGGAAGTCCAATCGACAATTCAGTCCGCACAATTTTTCTAAAGCATAAAGTTAAATACAATGTACAAAAACAGTTGGAAATGGTTAGCTGAAGAAAATTATCTCATAGAAATATTGAGCTCATAATCTAATTGTTAATTAGTATAAATCTACTAGCACTCTATCACAAACACCATCCTCTGATTAGCTACTGTATGCTACACACTATCACTATTGCAGATAGTGAGTACCCTGCAGTGTGGTTGTTAACAAAATGCTGGCCACTTTTTTTGCATATTCAAAGTGTCTGTCAAGAGGATTGAGATGCAGTTTTGAACAACCTTTAGATTTATCCTAAAACAATTTGTGCCCGACAGTTGACTTGCGCTGCAACTGCGTCAACTATTATGCAATAGAAATCTCAAGCTCATAATGTAATTGTTAATTATATACTGAGGACTTTGCTATATACAGGTTCATTAAATCAAGGTTCCACGGAAGAAAAGTCTGTGCATCACTAGCAACAGAACAGTAAATCAATAAGTAAACAAAATACAAGATATAGATGTGACCCGCCTAGATTAGCCCAGGCTACCTGCAGGTTCGTGCTGTTGCTATTGTTAAGCTTTTTTAACTTAATGTGTATATTTATTTCTGTAAAATTATAAATACGTGAGTCATAATAATAAAAGTTGATTCCATGTCATGCCACACTCCATACCTGTTCTGCAAGTATGATGATAGAAGACGCAGGTGGCAAGTTGTGCTGGATAACTTCCTGGACTGGGAATATTGCGAAAACAGTCAAGTAGGTAATGTACAAAAGTAGCCAGCATAGATCTGGAAGGGGCAGCCATGAATGTCTGTTTGCATGCCAAGCAGAGAAAATTGGAAAGGCAAACAAAGCCATTGCCTTCATTACAAGCCATATGCTGACGACGGTGGAAGGTTTACCAAATGCCCATTTTAGTATTGAGAGTTCAAGTGAAAGGCTGCAAACGAAAGTAGAAGTTAACTTAAATAAAATTAATAAAAATATATTTATAACAAAGTTATACATGTACATAACCATCTTAGGACTGACTAGGAAGCTGGAAGTGTTGGGTTTGAGGAAGGAGATAACTCAAGAGCATGGACCACCCAAAAGTACCCTTAGAGTCATAACAAGAACAAACTCTACACACAATGACATAATTATAATGCCAGGTCCAAGATCGGAACCCACACCACATTGGTGGAAGGGAAGCAAGCATGTTCACTGCTATGTCATCCCCACATAGAGAATAACTTAAAATCTAGCACTATTACAAGCATATCTCCAATCCATCCATCTGTAGATCACGTGGTACTAGTTCTAGTGGATGGTGGAAAAGGAAATGACGCTAAAAGGAAAACCTCTCCAGAGCATTATCCCAATCACGTCAACAGACCAGCAAGTGTGGAGAGATCATGTTGTTGCCCCAAATGCCACCTGGCATATTGGACATGAGAGAATCTCTTTCACTCTTCTTTTCTTTATCATGATTAAATTTTAACAGCTAAGATCTACAATCTTACCTTCCTGAATCAATGTAGTCATAGACTACAGTATTTATAATGAACACTATCAGTAAGGCTACAAAGATGTTATAGATTGTCTTGATGTGATTGACTTCTAGGAGTTCTCTGAAGGACAAAAATCAAAAACCTTACATTCACAATGAATACCTCTGCATACAGTTGAACTCTGCTGTCTTGAAGACTTAATGGAAATGAAGAATAGTTTGAAATTTGAGGGGTTAGAGATCGCTGATAGTAAGTGACTGAAAAAGTGTATCCAAGGGAAAAAGATTGGAGTTCAAGGTAGCTGTTAGTTCAAGACAACTGAGTTCAAGTTCATGAGTTTTATGTAATTACGTACACGCCACAACTGGTCAAAACAATTTTATGTTCAATTTGATAAGTTAACGCCAAGAATCAACAGTCAATAGTTTGATAAGGAACTGTTGTACTGTGAAAGCAGGCAAGTGAAACACTTTTATAATTATTATTTATCAACAAGTTTATAAATGTACATCAACCACCACAACGAGCTTGTAATAAGCTGATGTAAGACTTTCATCAGAGCTATTCGGACCATAGTTAATGGAGGGGACTGGTTATGAAGCCCGGCAAACATCAAAGGAGCAAACAAAGATTTCAAGATTTATGTTGGAAGGTACCCAACTGTGCATAATCTTTTGTTTTGCGTTCATACACTATGCATGAATTACATTTACAACCAAAACGTTTCTAATGGTTAGTTCCTCAGTACAGAGTGAACAACTATAATTGTATTTTGTGCAAGGTCAAGGCCAAAAAAGCAAACAAAAAACATACAACAAAGAACTTTGTCGGGCTTCATAACCATTCCCCTCTATTAACTATGTTTGGACAAAGGGTTAATGCTTTTCAAAACATCAAAATATACAAACTTCTATCCTGGATATTTACTTAAAAAGGTATCAACTCCACATTGATAAATTAAGCTAAAAGCCAAATGTTGGTTATAAATGTACTTACGTCAGTACTGATTGTCGTGGAACGAATACTTTATTTCCATTTACCTTGTCTCTGAAAATACAATCAAGCCAGTGTTACATAACCGCAATAAATTATTCACAGGGCTTAAGAAAGTTGGGAAAAGGTTTCCATGACATGTAATATTGGGGGATTAGTGGTGAGTGGTTGAAGTTTTTTGCTGAGACTTATTGATCAGTATTAATCATCTGCAAGTCAGTTGACATATCGAACTATGATCTTGTTTTGATATTGGAGCCTGACTAGTCCCAGGTTTCCACCTTGCACAATTTCTCACTGAACTAAAATGAAATTTCACATTTTCCAATGGCTAAAATGAGATGAAGAAAAAACTACATCAGTTAAATTTTTTCAATTTCCGCATCACAATCTCAGGTAGATTTTTGATCAAGTAAGTAAAAAGGATATCTGTTATATATACTTTAACTCTACAACTTAGTAGTATTATTCATTAAGCATCAGTCAATTTGAAACTTCAGCATATTTCCTCCTCCCCATTGATATTAGTTTTGAATATAACATAAAGAATGCAAGCCCAAGGATTGATAACATTGTTGAAAACCAAGATTTGGTTTATTACAGATATGCAAAAAAGATTGCTACAATATTTCAGCTCTATTTCAGAATCATATACCCCATTCACACCAACTAAACTAGTTTAACTAAATGAGGTTTAGGCTTTTCCAATTTGTCAATTTACGCTTTGCAAACAAGTTCAGAAGACAAAGTTTTAAACCATCTGGCTACCTTATTTTTATCAAACAGGTCTTTACCTGGTTAAGTTGTGGGGTGTGCTTTTTTTTTTTTAATTTGCCCGAACAATTACAACAACTACAATTAAACTTACACTACAGTTACAAAAAAAAAAAAAAAAAAAACAGTCTAAGGAGTATGTATCTATGCATTACAATCTACACATTACATAAAACAAACTTACAGTCTGTTACTTACAGAAAAAAAAGGACTTTAACTAACAGCTTTGGGTTACATTGACATGCAATGTGACAGACACTATAGAAAATAATACAAGTACACTAATTACAAGACATTATTATATGGCTTTGGCTTGTGGCCGATATAATGCGCGCTCTGATTGGTTAATTGTCACTGAATTGTAGGGCATTATTCTCCTGTAATGCCCACGGGCCGATTACGGATTATGCAAATTAGGAAGAGCCCGGTTCTGAAAATTCAAGCGCATTGAAGCGATGAAAGCCGATTAAAATCNTCGCTATCGCTCGGTCAATACGGCAAGGCCTCAGTTTGAGATTTTCCCGTAACGACCTCACTCTCGGTTATTAAGTAGTTAATAATTATTACTAAAAAACAATAGAAAGGTTACACTTGTTGAGGCACGCTACCTGAAATTAAAATATTCACTTAACAAAATTTAGCATACATTTCCATATTTCTATTTCTATGTGGGGTGTGCATAGTATGAGAAACTAATTTTTATGCTTATGTAGTTAAACCACTTTTAAACATGGTTAGCATGTTGGTGTGAACAGGGTAATAGTCATGTGGTAAGAAAAATTAAAAAAAGATCTAACCCTCTAGAGTTAGATCTTTTTCTTTGATCTGTTTGATTACATCACGTTATGTCATTGGTTGTTTGTACACCTAATAGGCTTGATATATTACTATGACTCTGAAATTAAGAGCGGAAGCATTGTCAGTAGCAATGAAGGCATTCCTTTTGATCCATCCAAAACATTTACAAAGCACAATGTTGTCTCTTGATGCATTGTGCAAAAATTCACCACGATCTCGAGGCAGCAACTTGTTTAAATCTGCCTTACCCCTCCCATAGTATGTCAAATTCCCCATGGTAAGAAAACCACTGATGTCAAGATACATCGACTAGTCAAAATATATCACTAGGATATGGCTGAGGAAATGTCTCCATTTGATCAATACATTATACTTTTGTAAAGAGCACAGAACTGTAATAGATATCATAGGTATACTTAAACAGTTTTATACCTGTTGTAAAAAACCGGTCATTATTATTACTACTATGTACATTGTACAAACATCAGAGTTATTTCCATGCTTGGCTGATTACCAAGCGTAAACATTTCCTGAACAACAAAAGAGAGACAGCAATGTTTATCCTAGGCAACTTAAACATGTTTCAAAGCCAAAACATGTTTGCTACAACAACAAAATCAAATAAAACATAATAAAAATTTCCCTGATATCTTTAATTTCCAGACAGTTAACCACAACCAAAATTATTTTATATCAGTTTCAAGTTAAACAAACTTTGCATTTTGTAGCATCCTTGGCAGCATATTATTAAAATAGCATACAAAAAGGATCAAATGGCTAAAAGTGACCAACATATAATGCTCCAGCATCTAAATAGTATACTAAGCATTAAACTATCAGCACAAATTAGAAGTCATTACTATTAAACCATACTTTTCGTGACATTTGCCATGACCAACAGGGAGAGGAATGACTTTGCCCTAAGGCATGCTACATAATTGGGCACCAATATTTTTTTGCGAAAATACATTCATTTCGTAAATACAAAACGTAGATTATTAGAAATCTGGAATTTATTAACCACACAGCAAATTAACCTGCGAGGAGGATCACCTTTGAGTCACATGTGCGAGTGGCAAAGAGATAAGCCATCCAGAGGGAAGGAGTCTGGTGAAGGGATGCTAAGAAAGTGAGCCTGCCTTGATCTCTGTAGTTTTTTCATCTCTGCTTTGCCTGAGTGAAGTGAAATACCATTGGTCGAAAAGTGGGAAAGGCGAGAAAACTGTCAATCTATTATGTTTGATGAGGAGAGATTAGATCCCCATGGAGTCGGTAATTTACCGCACTTTCTCACAATAAAAAATAAGTCGTCCACATTTGGAGTCAGAGGAAGAGTTGAGCAGGCTCACTTTCTCGTCCCCGCGGCTTACGCGCTCGCTTGTGAACGTGAGCGTCCTCGCAGGCCAACAGAAAATTAAAACTCATCGCAAAAAATCACGACAGGTGGAACTAATGGACTCCACCAGAACTTATAAGAACCAAAATGAAGACGAAGATTCTTCAAAGGATCTGATTAACTGGGGAAAGCAGCAGATTTTAGACTAAACGTTTGCGTGAGCACGGCTGATGAGCGCAATTTTGTCGCTCAAGTTTTGACGTCGGTATATTCGCGCTTTCCAACCACCCGAAACCATCAAGTGTATAACCGCCCGTTCTGCTCTCCCTTAAACACGAAACTGTAAAGAAAATGAAGGATAAATTGACTACAGCGATTTGACTAATTGTAAATTTGTCTCCCAAAGCGTGAATATCGATGCGCCTCCAGAGCGAAAGTGCCACTTGTGTAACACTAGTACGTAAAATTCACGTATGCGGACGAAATAGCCCGCTGGTCTCTTAAGAGAGGTCGATGCTTCGTTAGATAGGGTCATAGTATCAATTTAGCCGCATGACGGAAATTTGCAATATTTTATAGGTGGCTTTACAAGATATGCTCGCTTTAATTGAGATGGTTTGACAATGTACTCACCCAGAGTAGATATGATCCCTCCTAGGCTCCAGAGAGTCCACATCGTGTAACACGTCGTCGATAAGGTCATTAAGCTGACCGTCAATTTGTTCCATTAACTCCGTTCTTAGTTGCTATCAAAAAAAAATAAAAAAAAAGTAAGCTTAAATATCAAATCTACGACATGAGTTCCCACGCGATGTAAGCGGAAAATTAAAAATGAATGAAGCTTGACGTTTTGCGAAGCCATATTCTGCGTAGTCCTTGTTAGATAATAGAACAATCGCTATTTTTTAAAACTTCCTTCTCGGCAAAATAATAAATTTTGAATTACAAACTTCAGTTTAAGCAAAACACTGTTATATGTACATTTACAGGAAGTAGTTTGTTGCTGTTGTACCTCCGCTCTTCGGCGAACCTCTTCAACACGCGCTCTTCCCATTTCGTCTTTCTTGTCAAAGAAATTGACCCCTACAAAAAAGAAAAAAACAGCAAATCCATCAAATTAATACCAAAACGTGTTAAAATTCCTGCCATTCCGTTTACCAAGACATTACCTCCATTTCTTTCGTGAGTATGTTGTCTTCTTCGTAAAGTCGACATGATGTTGTAATTTTTGACTTGGTGACCACGCATCACAGCTGGCTGAAAAGGACAGAGCCGGGAAACTCCTTTCCGGTCACTGTCACGCACATAGTCACGTCAAAAAGCCTTTTCTGGATTATTTTTCTCTTTGAGTCGACATACGAATACAACACGGCTAAACTTTAACTCCAATTTTTCATAGAAATAGTAGGTAAAATAGTTTCTTTATTCCATTCAAAAGCGCTTTTGGCTATTGTTATCGTGACACACTTCTTTCATGTTTACACGGATTATCTGATGTAATCTGCGTTCAAGGTTCAGATGTTATCTGGATATACCGGATGTAATCAAGTTATTATTTGATGAAATACCGTGAAAATCACCCACGGAACGATAAGCCATCACTACTCATAATACCAATCGGACTTGGGACAACCTCAAGAAGTCACGATTGAGAGGGAGGGTTGGAATTTTCAGTTTTGTGGATTTCGTCAATTTTTGGTTCGGTTTTGCGGTTTTTCGGTTTTGGTGCCTTGTGCGGTTTGCGGGTTTTTTCCAATTTAGTCTTTGGTTTCGGGTTTTTGTCAACAATAATGACGGTTTTTCGGATTTTTCTGTCCAATGCATTTTACGTTTTTTCTGGATTTGCCTACGAAGTTACACCCTATAGTCGCTAATCGCGCTAAAACTGTAATTCCAAGGGACTTCTTATAAAGCCTTCTACCCACACTTTCTTTTAGAGGAATGCATGACAAGCCTTGTCTCTTTAGCAGCCGTTATTTGGATCGTAATGGCTGCCAAGCAGACTATGAAGCTAAAGAAAACATCAAAGCAGGGGACTATTTGTCAAATATCACGCGACTGGGATAATATCTTGTGGACTTTGACCTTAGACTCGGGACCATCGAGTTTCTATAGGTCGATTTTGAATTGTCTCCCCTTTTTGTCTCGGGAATAACATTGCACTCAATTGCTCCGTTCACGTGGAGTAACAGCAAAGGAGAGACTGTTTGTTTGGTTGTAAAATAAAGTAGTTTGGCTGTAAAATACGGCTGCCATTGTACCTTAACAAATGAAAATTCTGACAATGGCAATCAAATTAAACAAAAATTACCTAAAATCATTTTATTGTGCAATTTTTTTCAAGTTTCAAATTGTCTGTGGAGTCACTGACCGACTAACTGACTGACTGACTGACTAGCTGACTGACCGACTAACTGACTAACTCACTGACCGACTAACTGACTGACTGACTCACTGAATGACTGACTGACTAACTGACTGACTGACTGACTGGCTCACTGACTGACTGACTGACTGACCCACTGACTGACTGACTGACTGACTGTCTGATTGACTTACTGACTGACTCACTGACTGACTCACTGACTGACTGACTCACTGGCTAACTGACTGACTGACTGATTGACTCACTGACGTACCGACTGACTGACTGACTGACTGACTGAATGACTGACTGA